CTTCTCTCGCAAGGCCGTTTTAAGACGGCGGGACATGCCCGGAGCCTTTGTGTCGTTTTCCTTCGGAATGAGAGAACAATAGCTCATTGTCGAATCCGAAGACTGCTCTGCCCGAAGCTTAAATTAATAAGGCGCGCGCCTCCCGGGCGAAATGAATGCAAATGAACCCGGATAATTAATGCGGAGCGTGGACTTAACGGCGCGCGGCGGTCTGGTGGTTTGCCTGGCGGGGGAGCCCCGGCGGAAGCAGGGCGAATATGAGGGCAGCCTTTCTTTCCCATCGATCCTCCCCCCCTCCCCCCTGCCCCCCTTTTTCGACTAACGAGTCGCAATAAAGAATAAGTGGAGGCCACAACAGAGTGGAGAGGGGCAAGTAAAACGTCGGGATCAGGGGGAGATGCAAACTTTGTCTTGGAGAAGAGGGCGGTGGAAAGGCACAGAAAGTCTGGTGATATTCTTTTATGTCACGCTATTGACAATGGTATTTGAATGAAAAGACTTCCGCTCACGTTGCTGTTTTTTTTCTCTCCTCTCTCTTTAAAAACATTCGTCGTCTCGTGAGTTGAGAAAGGAGAACAAGGAGAAGGAAATTACTAGAATCTACTGACGGGAGTGTGCTGGCTTCTACAACGGTTCACCTCTTTTTCAAGGCAATATAACATCTTTTATTGTAAAAGGTCTAGATGTAAATTATGAAAGGATACATACGAATATAGCATTTTTGAGACCTTTTATTTGATCACGATAGTCTGAATTCTTGCATATCTAAACTATTACAAGTTTCGCAAAGCATTACTTATTGTAAAATAAAACTTTTGTGAAGTGTTCGAAGTGCAGTTCACTTTGTTCACAGAATAAAATAGTCAACTCTTCCAAGTACTTCCTTCTCTACCAACAAGAATTCTATGAAACCACAGACAATCTATCTTTAAATGAGATAGTCTGAAATTTAATTTACAGGCTCTGTTATTTAGATCAGAATTCGGGAATCAATTTAATTGTTTGTTAGTGACCTCAAATGCCATCTATTTCATCTTCAAACAACAAATAAAGAACACACATTGAAGGCCAACTGCAAACATGTAGGTTGCTGAATCTCCTTTAAAATTTAATGAACGTCACCCCTCTACAAACGGCATTGCATTAAAGCGACAAAGGAATAAAAGTAAAAACGTGTTTTAAAAGCACTTTAGATAATGAGTGACGGGGAAGATATTAAAATAATATGGATGTAAACATTTTCAGCGGAAGCATCAGGTGCGAAGAAAACCGGGCGTAAAAAGGGTAGCAATAAATTTGATCGGCTGAAAGGAAGTCAGTAGGACTAGATTATATGTCAATAATTTTGAGATTATTAATGGTTTTCTTTAAATGAAAAAAATAAAGTCGATGCTCATAAATGTGGATGTCACTGAAGCAATCACGCGTATACAGTTTTTTACTTAAAAAGGCTAGCTTGTTCAAGTAAGTCTTAAGCATAATACATTTGATTGAAAACACCAGGTAATAGGAGGATCACAATATATTCTAAAGTTTGTACTGTGAATTTTGAATAACGAAACGATCTCCCTATGGTTAAAGAGATAGGTAAAATATGAAATATGAATCATTCATTTCCAAAGTATTAATTCCTCTAGTAATAACATGCAACGCACACACACATCGGTATGCGCATCTATGACAACAAGAGTCAGTTATATTTCTTTCCTTCCTTTTTCTGTCTTCTGGCTCCATAATATATCAAAATTAGCTCATATAATAATATTTCAATATATATGCAAGTAAAATCATAAAACGTTTTCTCTGCGTTCGAACGAGACTGATATTTTAGGTGAGATTCAATGCACAAATAAAATATAACATTTGCATAGTACGCCTATTGTCTTACATCGCGAAGATCGAAGAGGGTGGTCAGCGGGCAATGAGCTTTGAGACTAGAACATCATCTTATGGTGAGGATGAGATTTTTGTCGCCTTTCACAACATTGGAAAAGTCGGTGTATTCTCTAGAAGATGTTCAAAATCACGTATATAGTACACGTACGCGGATATGTATCTGATACACGATCTGTTAATAGAGGAACAAACACATTTGAAAAAGCAAACGTTTTTATTATGTTTTTCTCTTAACTTTAGGGCAATCCGCGAATTTTTGTGATCGCAACAGGTCGAAACAAATAAGTGTACGAGAATTATCACATGTTAAATCCCAATTTCACCGCCATAATCCACAGCCCCGAAATCGAGATATTGCACATATTCCCGCGAAATTTCCACGAAAAAATCTCCAAAGATCCACAACATATTTAATGTTACGTTTAAATGTCGGAGTGTAGCTAATTTTCAAATTAATCATTGGACAAAGCTGCATGAATGACGATGAACGGACCATTTTGGCCATTATCCGACTAATGTTGGCATTGGCTACAGGTCATTGGATAAAGTAAGGTGATTATCCGCGTGTTAGGAGTCTTATGTGTACGTGTGGCACACAATCCATTTGAAATGATGCGTTGCACAGACTCAAGGTTGATAAGAAATGCCAAAGATGAGACCCTTGCCGCAACTCAGAAATGCCTAGTGAAGAATCAACAGAAGCACATAGTGATGTTACTTCGACTAGTACAGTGTATGTAGAAATTTACTACTTAGAGAGTGGAACTCGAAACTACATTCCTTAATTACCATTAGTGCTAGAAACTTCCCACCATCAGAATGATTCCTGTCCACCGTCTACATTCTCTCCTCGTCACCGTTACCTACTTCACCAACCCTAGCAATCTCGAGTTGGCTAATGCACATTTCACCCGGTGAAAGCCGAAGTGCACTATGAAATAGTTCATACATTATCCATCCACATTGGTTTTCATTAGCTGGAGAATTCGCCAAAAAAAAAAACAGATTCCGAAATTATCCCTAACATATGTACTACGTAAATGGATTCTTCAAACTATTAGTTGATTCAAGTGCAAAGTTGGAAAACTTGCATACAGAGCACTACTGAATGCGAAAAACGTATATCTTTTAATGGTAAAGTGATCCGATTACCACTTGACAACTCTGCCACTAAAACAATAAGGTTCCTATACTATCACTTACAGATGCAGTACATAAATGGATACTTCAAAAACTGAAGAGATCCAAGTGCAAATTTGAACAATTTGCATTTAGAATACTACTGAATTTGAAAAATACATATCTATTAATGGCAAAGTGATCCGACTACCACTTGAAAACTCTGCCACTAAAACATAACGTTCCGATATTATCCCTTACATCTGCAGTACATAAATGGATACTTCAAAAACCTAGTGATCCAAGTACAAATTTGGACAATTTGCTTACAGAATACAGCTGAATTTAAAAAATACATATATTTCAATGGTAAAGTGATCCGACTGGAAATTGGGAACTCTGCCACTAAAACAGTAACTTAGCTTAACAGAGGCCTTATGGCGACTGAAATCGTATTTTCGTCGATTTCTCAAGATTAATAAAGTGTTACTAGCGTTCGAGGTGTGTGATGTCGTGTGAGACAGCGCTGGGAAACGCCGAGGCCGTCCACGCCAACTCACCTGCTCCTTGGTGTAGGCGTGGGGGGCGGAGAGGTTGGCGAGGTGCCCTTCGAAGGGGAAGGTGTCCTCGTACTCGAGCAGCAATCCGTCGGCGCCCTCCTCGGCGATCAGCTCCAGGAAGCTCTTGAGGAAGGGCATGGTGGGCGGCGAGCCCTTCAGGTCCAGGTGCACCACAAGGGCGGGCGGGTCGCCCGGCACGCGCGCGCGGTCCTTCGCCTTGGCGGCGACGGGGACCTAGCACAACGACCAGGTAACATGAAATTAGACAACACATTAGGCTGTCCATATTTTTTAAGCCTCATATATATTTTTTATCATTAGTATAGTAAATAGTATTTTTTCGTTTTGTATTAGAAAAATTGAGCAGTTGTAATAGTTGTTTATGCAATTAGTTTATAATGTTAAGATTTATTGCACGAGTACATGTTTTGAAAACGAGCGACTTCAGGAAAAAAACATCCCTTGATTCGCAAAAATCGAGCTAGTTATGAAGGTAATAAAATCAGAAGCAATATAATACATTTAAAATATATAATTACGAATTTCTACAATTAATTGTTTAAAATGTAAGAGAGCAGATTGAATTGAAACTCATAATTCCCATTTTCTTTAGGTGATGCGGTTATTTGACCACTACTGTTTGATGAATTGATATATGATGGTCCAAATGTGGATCGCGGTGGCATAAGGAACTAACTACATCACAACCATTAAATGACAATAGTCCTGGCTTATCATGTTCTTGCATTCGCACTTGGATGGTAAACATGAATGTTGGGGGTAGAAAAAAAGCAGAAGATAACGGCTGCTGAATAAAATCAGAAGAGTTTCGAAACATTCTTTGGTGAACAACCAGGAGTGATCAATGTGTAACTTTTTACATTACTTTTTCTCCTTTTCGTATTTCGTAATGCCGTTGTTCGTTAAGTTCAAAAATTGTGAAAAGGCCATGACAGTGGAAGACATGGCGAGGGCGAGGGTTCAAAATGTTGGTAATGGTCCGTTACCTCAAATAATCGGTCCTAATTTTCTAAGCGGCCTTTGGTTCCGTGTCCTTAGACGATACTCCATGGTCCTTCATCTCCAATGCCAAGCTATGTGTTAACGTAGGCTATGAGTAAATTAATATATTTAATTCTAAACATAAACTATTGATCACCTCCTAACCTTTGTCGACAATTATTGTAACTTCTTACCGAGCTTTACGTCTCGAACATATGATGAACAAAACGCGGATGTAAACAGTTCTCTTGAAGTTATCTCATTATTGTCTCGCTCCTTTCAGTGCTAACCATTCCTCTGTTAGCATTCATATAAATATCAGTTTACTTTACACCTCTAGATAAATTAATTCAAATTCTCAAGAAACGCCGCGTATACTCGAGAAATTAAATGTTAATAAAAACAACATACAAAATAGAAAAAACTATTTAACTTGCTTAACAAAGAACCAAAACCACCTTCAACCAAGTCACTCTCACCTTCTTCCTCACATGTTTTTTCATCATCTTTACACCATTTCAGAACAAAAGGAATAACGTCACTACAAAATGATCAAAAGAAAAATAATAATTGAAAACATAAATATTGATAAACATTGATAAACTAGACATTCCTAAACCTGATCGGACTTACGCTTTAAAGTCCAGGTCTACTATTCGAGATTGAGCAATTCGTACAGCGCAGGTCAAAAAAAAGTTTGTAGGCAACCCATGTTAAAAATACTTAAACGTATGTTTTCTAGAACAATAAACGCATTTTAACTGCACAGGGTAAGTAACTTATTCGGGGAATAATTAGGCAATTGAAGAACTTTTAACAAGAGAGCATTTTGGATCTTAGCAAATATGGAAAACTATGTATTAATTCAAAACAAGACCATAAACTTTGGAAACCATTTGAAAAGGTTCCAAAACTACCTGGAGTTGATTGAATGTTCATTTACCGGGAGAGAGATTATTTTTAAATTAGGCACCCAGCGATTAACTTGCTGAGAACTATATAAAAATATTACTTAATTGTTGAATGTCGTGATTCGTTTCATTTCACCCAGAATGTTCACCTTCAAATACCTTTCATCGTATTCAAACCAATCTTTAATTTTTTGTACAGAATGTTACAATTACTTTATATTCAAATCTCATGTCTGGCCAATTCTAAAATTTCTCACTCTTGAGCCTGCTTGAGTCACACAGTACTTGCGTGGCTGCCTAGATTTCTTAGAGGTAAGAAATGTTACGCCCTTCTTCCTCTTTCACGACCCTACTCACCTCCACCTCTACAAAATAACCTACCCCGCTAGCCAAATCCCCGTCTCGTATGGGGGATGGCAGCATCAGAGGAGGACAATAACAAAACGAACAACTAAACAAGGAACGAAGAGCTCAAGAATAAGCAGGCGTTCTCTACGACCTCCTACAGCTGGTCTGATCTGGTCTCACCTTGGAGCTGCGATCACCGTTCGTCGAGATCAGCAACAGACCTCCAGCAATCACCACGGACACGAAGAACAACTGGCGACGCAGGCGGCGGCCGGTGAACGGCGCCTGGAACCTGTGACACACAGACGCACCTCCGTGGAAAATAATACGAGCGTCGGGGCAGAAGTCTTGGGAACTATTTTTTTCCTAAAAGAAATATCATTGGATCACATAATTTTTTTTTGTGGTGGGAAAGAACTGATGAGTTAATTGAAGATTGAAGTCAGGGATTTTTTAAAATACAATTTGTTTTATATAAGTCGATCATTAGAAAAGGCATGAAATTTTTGGAAAATATTAAAAGTTTTCGCGCAATTTTGAATGATATAAATTGAAGTAGTTTTTAAAAATTTTATAAACGAGACATCCTCAAAAAGTGCTCCAAATTGTTTTTTTTAAATGTACGCGAACAGTTGCCTAAAGAGCGGGGCAGAGATGATCGGGCCGCGGAATGAGCGGGCGGTGCGGAAATGGCGGGCGGGCAGGGCGGGAGCGGCGGGCTGGACGGTAGGGTGGGGCAGGTAGCGGCGGGCGGGCGACAGGGGTAGGTGGGCTGGCGGGGGGGTAGGATGGGGCTGGGCGGTGCGCGTGTCGGGCGGGGTGGGCGGGGGCGGGTGGGTGGTGGGCTGGGCGGGGCTGGCGGGCGGCGGTGGGCGGGCTCGGGCGGGTTGGGCGGGTGTGGGCGGTGGGCGGTGGAGGCGGGGTGGGGCGGGGGTGGGGCGGGTGAGCGGGGTGGGCGCGGGTGTGCGGGGTGAGGCGGCGGTGGGCGGGTGGGCGGAGTGCCGGCGGAGTGGGGCGGGGTCGGCGGGGCGGGGCGGGGCGGGGCGGGTTGGAACGGAGCCGAACGAAGCAGGCCCAAGCGGTGGCTGCACCCTTAGCGGCGCGCTCGCCGCCACCGCCCCGCCCCGCGGTCAGAGCTAACAGAACACGGCGCTCAACGGGGGCGGGTTGGAGGTGGTGGCGCGGGGACAGGAGGGCTCGAAGGGGCTCCCACCGCACGCAGGCCCAGGGTCGCCGCACCAATCGCCCGCCCGCGCATTAACGCAAAAAATTTCCGCGGGGGGTGCTCTGTCAGCGAATGCCAGGAGGCGCCACGCCACCCACTGCCGCACTTCTAAGTGGGGCGCTCCCTTGAGCAAACTACACACGTGTTGAATTTTGAAATTATTAAATATGATGCATTTGAATTATACACACTCTTTCTGCGATGTGAAACTCGCATGTTTTTACGGAATAATCAACAGAATTTTATCCACCGAAATACATTACTGGCAAGAGAAAAGTACTGTAAGCTTATGACTAATATGAATAGGCTTGTGAACACTGTACGTATGCTTAATGTGCGTTCAATTTTCAGGTAAAAAAAGTGTAAGAATAATCTTTAAAAATTTGAAATGTCGAAAGAAAACTATCTATGTTCGTCCAGTGTTCCGTCTGGATCAGTAGCAGTGGCGAATAATCAGAGCAAGTTATCCCTGCAGTGCACGAATTCATATATTCTTACTATTGTTTATTCTGATGTGTCAATATTCAATGAAATGAATAATTACATTCACATTTGTCCAGGGTCGATGGGGGACGCCATCATCATTCGAGGACGTACTTCATCAGCGCAAGTTAATCTCACACAAAATATTTTTCATCTCATCAATTTTATCGAAGAAAATAGCTTGTTACTTTCCCCGCTTCCGTTCCAAATGCAATTTTGTTCAAATGCGATTCAAAGTGAGTAAACTTCACTGAAATTAAAGTACACTCCATTCGAAAATATCCATCCGTAAGAAAACATGTTCACATTATCAGATTATACTAGAAAAATTGAAATATTTTATAAAAACAATTCGAAACTAACAAAAAATACTAAGAAATAGATAAATTTTATACTAATTCACCTGGAAATTGAGTATTAGCGATATCTTTGGGAATATTGCATACTAATTGACATCACACGACATCGAAGATTTGATAAATTGCTTCGAATCGGAGAACTACCACAAAAGGTTTTCTTTGATATGATATTAAAATGTTTACAATGATGACTGATTATTACATTTACTATGGACTTTAAGGAAACCTCTTAATTATTATGACCGGTTAACATTTATTAAGAGGCATTGAAGTTTCCATTGGTTTAAGGCGTTTGAAGTTTGATGTTTTAAGATGCCATTGCAATGAATTTTTCATTTACACATAGTTATTATATTTAAAGAGTAGTTTTTAATTATTTATGACGCATTAAAATTGTTCAATTCTGTTATTTAAATTATTTTATTACTGAAATGAATAGACACATTTTTTGTAGTAGCAGTTATTACGATTCGCTTTTTTTCTTACACAGTTTGCATCTAGCTATATTCTCATGTCAATCAATATAAAACGTTTTATAAATAGGTATTTTATTATTTTTACGTTATTTTCTGTTTATGTCTTTTCTTTAGTATATGAATACCGACTTCTTCTTGACTTTTCCTTGCGAGACATTTCTATTAGCAGAAGGCATTACTAGTTAATTTGAATAATTAATTAAATTTAATCAAATGGGGGCTAACGCCTGTTAGCATTAAGCATATTACGAATAATAACGATATGAACAAGCACATCGATGTGTCAAGAAGGGGAAAATCAGCAATATGACTTCATTTTTAGTAGTAGACTACGCCTATTAGATCTTTAAGTTCTAATTCTATCCTTTTTTATTTGAAATTCTGTTACTTGCAGATTTAGCTATCTTTATAATAAAATTTAATTGTTTCTGTAATGAGTCATAATCTGTATTAATATATAAAGACACAAGGGTGTTGCGTTACAGTGCAATGATCTCTCACTGTCCTGGACAAATAGCGATAAAACTTATGTGCTAGCTTCCTTTGAATGTCAGGAATGCTACGGACAATGATTTGCAACCATAAACCATCATAAATGCACAAAATAATTACTTTTCTGGACGTTTTCGCCTAGCATTGCATCATAGATTCAAGAATGCATTAATATGCAATAATTTGGTTGCGAGCCACCAGAAGATGACGACTGAGGTCTATGATTGAGTTTAACTCACGAAATTGCGTGCATTTGTAGAACAGCTGAAAGTCGTTGATTTTACCGTCAATTGTCTAATGCGAAATGTTTATATTTAAGAATGATTCTGACTTTTCTTACTCTCATTTACAAAAGTAGCTGGGATATGGATTTTAATTCCGTCTACGCGTGAATGTATGAAGTGTACAAGAGAGAAGTATAGTTATTCATATATGAAATGTTTCGAAAACGACAGTTTGCTAATGGCTGTTTGATTTGGTCGTAAAAGGTATGAATGCACACAAGTGTTATACACGAAATAGTTATTGGTTTAGTTGCAGTATATTAAGTACAATTATTACGTATTTGCGAGTGGGACGGGGTGGAACGGAGTCGTTCGAGGTGGGGTGGGGTGAGGTTATTGAAAGTGAAACTCATTTTGAATGATTAACGAGTTAGATTAAAACTGTGATGGATACATTTTTGTAGGGAAGGGTTTTATTTTAGTGTAAAAATCGTACCTTTGGCTAATGAAGGAATGATTATTTAAATTGATGAAACTTCGGGAAGTATTACTGAAGTAAAAGACTAGTGGGAAAGGGAAGAAAATGAATATGTGTCAACACATTTTTTAAAGGTTGTGGAAAATAAAACAAAAGAGCTTTTAGATGACAGAAAAAGCTTGGTCAGGCCGGGATCCAATGTGTGATCTCCGATTTTTGGAGCTATTATAATTGTCTAAGTGGTTAATGGCACCTTTCCCTCTGTCACAAATTATCAAGAACCCTAAAACACGAACCCGAATTCAATAAAAAGTACTTTATTTATATTTATATTTCAATTGTTCGGCGTGGGGTCAAAACTCAATTACACATACTTATAAATATGCTAGAACAAAAAATATTTAAAAAAAGTTTTACAACGTGGCAACTGATTAAAAGTATGGAAATAATACATAAAATTGCATAACAATAATGTATGTACATGTATTTTATGTTTGTGTTTAGATTAGTTTTTTATTATAATTTATTTTAATTTATAAAGTGAGTAAAGTTTGAAGGTGAGAATCCTAATTTAAAAAGATATAAATATTTTTAGTGAGAAAGTGAGGATGGCAAGGTATTTACAGGAGAGAGCAAGGTAGAGAGAGGTTGAGTAAGACGGGGTGGGGATACAATAGAATAGATTCAAGTAGGCTACGCGCATGTGCGTGTGTGTGTGTAAATAGATGCAAAATATTTCTGTCTAATAAATTGTAATCAATACCCCGGAAACGCGGAGTGCTCCAGCTAGTGTTTCAGCTAAATACAAGAAAAGTAAATATTACTTATTGTTCAACTTATTTATAATCGATGAAATGGTTTTTCAACCTTGTCCGTTCCACATCTCCTTTGAGGGAGCAAAGTGAATATCATAGTTCAATTAACTACTACCTCACACAGTAGATCTTACCTCATTTTCGTGCAGATGAGAAGTCTTGTATTGAAGGCCTGGCCTTCGGCACTGCTCTCTGGATCTACAAATAAACATTGTCAAAAGACAAGATTAAAATCAGAACTTACATCGCTTAAATTATAATCAATAATTAGTAGCCTTTTTAAAAGTTTGCATTTGAATTTTTTAATTCATAGTCACTTGAAAAAATGCAAGCACAAATATTAAAATGAAAGCTCTTATTAGTACAATTTGTTACAAAAAAAATGGAACAGTTGGTCAAAATTCAAAACAAATTTACAAGTCTCCTGGCAATTTTGTATCTTCGTGCCCGTAAATTTACTATAGGTACATAGTCACTTTTCTTTAAAAATTATGTATGTTCCAATTTCTTGTTTTTTGTGCTATTACAGAACAAATATTTGGAAAAAATCTGAAGAATCTGAATTTAAGTTATCTCGTAAGCGTATCAACAAGTTTTGTGCCTTTATAAGGCAATTTGGAAAACTCATGACTAATTTGTATTAATTAGCTTATTTTCACAGTAACATATTCTTATATTAGAAATATCAAAGTGACATTGAAACTGATGTTTTGTTCTAGTTTCCTGATACTAATTTGTTAAACTGATTAGTTTTTCTTTTGTACTTTAACATTCACTGTTTTGAACTTACCTGCATGTTAAGGAAATATGAAGATATACAAGATCGTGTTCGTGAAATAAATATGTAAAATGCGTTATTTACGAAGCAGACCTGAAGGGGACGATTCTTAATTTTGGCCGCTTTTCATAAACCTTCCATGTCGTTTAGTAGTAACATAAACGGTCTTTGATATTTTGTCCTATTAGTAGCTCAGCCCTCTGAAATTAATTTTAGGAGGCTCTGTAACAAGGGTCGAAATAATTTCGAACATATTATTATGCATGGAGTTTCTGACAAAGAACGTCTCATTTCCTTTAATGACAATGACTCAGGCCATTTTCGTGAAGTATTTTTTACGAGAATGACGCAGAAGACAAAGGAGCGAAAATTCCACAAGCCCTAACTAAACGAGATGGAATATTACTAGTAATATTCAACTTCGTTGCCGTAACTTTATCGTTGCCGCTTGCTGAGACTTGAGTAGGCTGGCAATAGACTACACCAAGAGATGTGTTGCGGGGAATGTGCGACAAGAAATAAGGAAAGAGGCCGGTGAGGGTGCGCTCACACTCTAGAAGGGTGTCATTCGATGACTCAAAATGCCTTTATGTGCTACAAGACAAGAGTGGTGACAGCAGTCAGCTATGAGATCAGCTGCGAGTTCCATTTCTTGTTGTATTGAAAGCTCTTGAGTAATTTTTACCCGTGAAATACTTGTTTTATTTCCATAATTGTAAGTCATCTTTTCGAGTTCGAATTGTCTAAAGAGAAACTCATTACTGTACTGCATATAAATAAATATTTAATGCAAAAAAAGAAACTGCATGTGACGTTTAGGGAAAAGTACGACTCGTCTCTGCAAATTTTCTTGAGCTCTGATATTTCTACCCCAACTATTTTACTACATTTGTTGATTGAATTATGAATAAATGGTGAATGATCAAATAATTCATAGTAAAATTCATAATTAATAATTTATAAATAAATGTGAATCAAGAAAAAATAAAATATTAATTAATTTCTTTCAAAATACCCTTTCAAGTTCATGCATCAAATCTTTACTTTTAAAGGGCTCATTGTGTACCCCTTTTTTAAAAGAAATAATATTTTCCACAAGTTTTGTCAAGTTCATTTCCGTTTAAAGAAAAAAATCAAGTAGGAAATGTGAAAACACTGTTTATCACATCTTTTACTGGTTAATATTATAACCTCACTCGGAGCGACGCACTGTTTAGCGTTTTCCTGAGTCAGTGAATGCCTAAATGTCATATAACAAATGAAGGATAGAAATGTGTCCGAGAAAATTCGCTCGCCGACCGAAGGAACTCTTTCAAAAGTGTGGGGGTCGATAAGCATCCTTTGTTTCGATTTCCCACATTTCTCGTCGCACATTTCTGGAAACACATTCCTCGGTGTTGTCTGTCGCCAGCCCAATGTAGCTACAATGGGAAAAGTATAATGAAGAATAATTGGTGGACTGTTGTCGCAATAAATGAAACACGATTTCATTTTCCGTTTTTCAGTTTCTCTTTCACTTAGATTTGCAGTGCAAATCTGGGATCGATAATATAATATCGTATTCCTGGCACAAAATTATAAAATCAAATCACATCCTACAAAAATTATTAAAACCATTATTTTGAAGAAATAATCTACATTCGGTTCCATTTCTGATGTCCCTAATGTTTACAAATCTTGTCTTTACACTTAATTATTGAACTAGAGAGAAAAAAGTACTTTGTGGTTTTACGTTGGTAAAAAAAATCAAGTGGTGACTTTGTTGCTAAAGAATTATACGAAAAACATATTATTGATTCAAAGATGAAATTGAAACTAATATAACTACATTTACGTAAGATATGTTTTCAGTACAGGCAGAATTATGTTGCTACATTGGCATATTTATATTGGAAGATTCAAGTCATCTGTAAATGCTGTAAATTTCTGTATATAATTTTATTCACAGCGTTTGTATTTACAAAATATAAATTAGAAATAAGATTACACTGAAAAGTTATTTAAAATGTTGTAATACGATTACTATGGCTAGAAGAACAGTATTCAATGTCACCTTAAGATGTGTTTAATCTCATGGAATATTTATGTGATTTCAAATTGTTGACTACAGACAAGTGAATAAATAAAACAAAGTATATGATACGAGAAATAAGTGTGCTGTGCTATAACAATTTCTAATCAGAAACACTCACGACTTTAACTAATACTAAGTCGAGGTGCTAGAACAAGACAATAACATTCTCACATAATGTCCAACAGTTATGTAAAATTATATTGAATATAATGCAAATTATGTACATTCAATATTTTAGCTATTGTGTGCAAATATCTCTTGATTAAACTGATTTAAACACACCACACTATTTCTTCTATACTTTACAAGTAAAACGTATATTTTTGTTGAATACATGGACATTAGGGTGGTTAGTAATAGTGAATCTCTGTATCAGAATGACATCCTACACAATTCGTTAAATAAATACAAAATCCATTTAAAATTCAAGGGCTCCCAACATCAGCCAGATACTGCGCGTAATATTAATTCTGGTGAAAATCCTGTATACGGTTTAGGAGAAAGGGTTTTTCACTGACAGACGGGCGGACGCACTGACAGATGCTTTGATGAAAATAAACTTTTCGGTATCAAGGACTTCCAAAACATGGGCTCTGCTTACAGTACGTGTTCTAGAAAGAAATTTATTACATGCAAGAGCGTAGTAATGCAATAAAGCCCAAATATACCAAGTAAATCACACAATATTTTTTTAGAATACGAGTAGTACTTTAGCATTTTATTTTGCGATGTGAGGTCAATAGGAGAGATGGCGCAATCCTACAGGCCAAATAAAATCACTTTTACCACGTATGTCATACATAATTTTCAGATCGGCTTCCTGACTTTCGTTTCAGTTTAATTGAAGAGTACAAATTACTTAAACATGTACAAAGGGAAGACATAAAAGTGAGAGAGATAATTTTAAAAAGACGTTTTATTGTAAATTATAGACTAAGTGAATTCATTTCTCATCATCCTGGAAAACGTGTTCTGGCATTGGGCGTATCTATAGGCACCACCTTTACAACCCCGTCATTTAACGAAAACTCAGGATTCATACCGGTTCTCCTTCATGGGATCAAAGTGTTGAAAATGATTCGACGTTAAGTCAGGTCTGAACGGTAGATGCTTTAGTAACTCAAAACCGAGATCTTCTACTTGTACTTACCGAACTGAATTTCGTTCTTTGTAGTGTGAAAACGAGCACTGTCCTGAAGCTAAATCAGACATTTGGAAAGTTATGCTCATGTTCATAAAGCTGACTGACCCACTATAGCAGAACACAAAGAGAAGTAGCTCTATTTAGGCTAATTAAATGCTTTATCCCCAAATGTTAGGTTCTTGTAGTTTTCTCAAAAATCAATTTTAAGCAATCTTTACAATAAAGCCAGGTGCCACAAAATGAAAAATAAACGTTACAACAAAATTACTGATCCAGGAATTATAGGGTAACTATATAATCACACTATTTATTATTAATAATATTTATTTTTGTACAAAGACTCTGACATCCTAGAGCAAAGAAAGCCAACTGATTAATTGCTCAGAAGAGAACAGAAAACAAAATACATTTGACAAGTGCACTATTTGTTAATTTAAGGCAAGAATTAAGTGCTCGTTACTTTGAAAAAAAAAAATTTCCCAACAGTACAATACAACACAACAGATGAAGTACGCACTACGGCACGGCATTCAACATTGAATATTTTTTAAACTAGAGAGCGGAACACGATATATTTTTTACTATATTGTGGATATGCTCATGTACTATTTCTTAATATCCCTTGAATTAAGTGCTAGACATCTTTAGCTAAATTGTTCCTAAAAATACAACACAGCCGCTCAAATACGCACTGCTACACGCCTCAACGCATTCAACGCCTCATTATTTTCAATTTAGCAAGGAGATCATAGTTTCATTTTAATATATTATGTATATTATTACGTATTATGTGTTGAAATATTCCTTGAATTACGTGCTCGGCAACTAACGCTAAAGATGTCCCGAAAAAAGAACTCAACTACTGAAGAAGGCACTACGGCATGGCATTCAATACCTAAAAAATTTTAAACCAGTGAGCAGAACTTCGGATTAACTAGTTAAAATAAATAAAAACCCATCTGATGCTGCCTGTTCCCCAGTTACTCTGCGATTGCTGAATATTATAAGTAATATTCGTAGTCGGCCTCGTCTCTGCCCAAGTTATATTAAAGTTTTTGTTTTGTTATGGTTGCATACTATTTGTACTGAAGATCACTGTCAGTAATTATGATCGTCAGTAAAGACGATGTCTTGAAGCATGAAATAGCTCTAATAGTTTTGTTACAAATTACTTCTCATGTGGATTACTACGTGAATTTCTA